ACCAGCAAAGGACCAGCATCCCAGCGTCAAAACATACCTAACCAGCATATGCTGGTTTTTTCAACAGGGAAGGCAATCAGATTGACACGTTTACTTGACATATCACATATATGTGTACATATACATAATCAGAATCTGAGCCATTTCCGCTAATAATCAGAATGCAGTCCTCGTCTACTTGCTTAGCGTTACTGTTATTGAACATTCGACTCGTTATAGGTCGAACCATGTTTTCATCTCAAAATAAAACTCTAGACATATCAGTTTTCAGAAGAGCAAAAGGCTGACAGCATGCGGGTTGTTAAAAACAGTCTAGGCATAGCACAAATATTTCCTTAATCTTAACAAGCTGCTCTTGACCTTTCCGAATAGTTCCCTTCGACTTCTTCAAACTGGTTTCAATATCCTGAGCAGCAATACCACTTCTGTGACTAATGCTGAAGGGGGAAAAACAAACTCAAGTTCAGCTTGGACTTTTCGCAAAGGCCACACTCACCGTTACACCATTGGAATGGTTGCATGTAATCTGACTCCAAGCACTGCGGCTGCAAACTCACTGCTTGTCTGGAACAGGCAATGCGGGGGCTGGAGGAGGACACAAGCGAAGCTTATTCCCGACAATTTTCCTGACGTTCTTCCTGTAGGTCAGACGGGTCTAAAAAGCAGCTCTTCAAATGAGAGGGTGTGCTGTCTTGATTATAGTTCAATTATTCCTCCATTCATCCCACTTTTATGATGTCAGCATCGAAGAACAAAAGATTTCAAGCACTCTGTGTCTCCGCCGATGTGAATATGCACAAGGTGCTTTGTTACACAGACAAAGGGAGCATAATGTGCCCTTGATATTCTTCTTGTCTTTGAGATCCAGTCCGTATGTGGCCGGATGGCACTTCGGATGTGATCTTCTTTGCTGTCATACACAAAAGTTAACACATTTCTTAATAACAAGTCCTGCGAATGGTGGTTTAGCGAGCACTACACACCCATAACATACAAGTCTCCATCTACAGCCTTTGGCTTCCCTCAAACCCTTATGACTTTGGCCTTTGGCATGTCTCTCTCTCTCTGTCGATTTTTCTAGCTCCTCTTCCTTGACGTCGCTGTTTAGGTATATGGTATATTCCTTTATTTCGAATAAAGCCGTTTAGAGATCGAAGAGAACAGTATCTTCACCACCATCAAGCCACTGGAGTGTTTATGTGTGCGCCTGTGTGGGGGAGTATATTTTCTCTCCACCTAAAACCATCTGTTCCCTCAATCCTTTCATCAAGAAAGTGGACAAAAAAACCCAATAGTCCCTTAGCTCATTCAACGAATATCCGAGCCAAAACGCAAGCATCTGGGGGTTAAAGATGTGTTCTAGTCAAGCCAGCCAGTAATATTCTCCAGGAAGGCGCCTGCGTCTTTCCTGGCCGCACAGTTTCAGTTTGTAAACAGATCTGTGCTCATGTGATCCTGGTTTGCCTCGCAACTCTGTCCTCCAATCCCTCCCTCCCTTCCTGAGCGAGTCCCCTCCTCCAATCCTCTGCGCGACTGCAGTCACAGGATGGCCTCCGCTGCTTCTATATGTCTCACTCAGAGGGATGCAACATTTTAAAGGGGTCATATGATGTTGCTAAAAAGAACATTATTTTGTGTATTTGGTGTAATGAAATGTGTTTATGTGGTTTAAGGTTCAAAAAACACATTATTTTCCA